GAATAGATATCTAACCTTGATTGTAGAACAATAGAATATCGCTAGCACGGATGAGACTTCATCAATTACCTGAAGGGCAGTCTCTCAATGTCTCCAACATGTATACAGTTCCCACTACAACAGTATCTTGCGAGATAATAATGATACAAACAAAATCCACTATTCCCTACCTACTACTGGAATCCTCAAGACAATCCGAAGTGTTTGACCCTGCTCGTATCTTGCGGCCAGGCATACAAGGGGCAGGGATAACGGTCATGCAGGATGATTCTTTGCGTCTTTTCGAAAACTAAGGTCACCCATACAGGGTGGTAGATGTGGTGGAGATCGGATGCGACGACTGTAGATCCAACTCGCCTTCCTTTTGGAGACATGGCTTACAAATGCATGGCTGAAGCCCTGCATTGACCATGCTCACAAGCATCATCATGGTTATTACTATTTATTACTATATCACCAACGCGTCCTATATAGGCAATGATCAAACTAATATATCAATGACGGTGTGTCTAACCTAAGACAGGACCCGCAGTGCACATCTGCTGGCTTAGATCAGTGACGAACACCCATTTCAGAAGAGCAAACCCACATCCTCAAACAAGTGGCACACCGAACCGAAACAAACTAATGGAACTACACTGCCACGTGGTGATCCTGTTCCTGCTAATGTAGCATAGACAAAAATAAATGTTTCAACTGATCTACCGGATGTCTTCGGGAGCTAAGCAAGCACCATAGCGCCATAGATGCAGCCTGGGAAATGAACGCAGTGAGGCCTGAAATGTGCCAATGTGCGCTGTTTCCATCGTGTAAATCAGAAAGCCAATTGCTTTCCACGTTATCCTCGTTTCCTTGTGGGCTGAAATAGGTGATACTTGTCACTTTTCTCTACGTTCCCTGCTCTGGTGTCAGTGCTGTCAGCATCTATGATGCAGCTTATATTGCCCCTCCTTTCGCCACGTTTTTGTGGATAAGTGGGGGATCCTGCTGGCTTATGGAGCTAGAAACTCAAATTGACTATGAGGTCCTGCTCGGGTCGTAGGCAAGTAAACTAATTCTAGATGTCTTGGGCTTCCTATAGTAAGCATAGTAAGCAGTCAGAGTGCACTGTGGCGCTGCCAGCATGTGCACAGGTGGGGAAGGAAGCAACCATCATCTAGCTGGCTGTTATAATTTATTCGCGGGTCCAGTAGGGCTGTGTTTGGTAAATAACAATGATATCATTTGAGGTAATACTGCATGCTTCTCGAACAGGTCATTGTGTCTGCTACAAGGCTGTGTTACACCAACTGCTTGGTTCCGAGCCCAAACTGGACAGCCTTACCACCAGGGCTCAGCGACCAATGTCTCAGACAAGATGAAACTGCGCATTGGGAATTTAGATTATCTGACCTCGTGTTCGATCAGCGGTTCAATCCTACAGCTGTTCCTGCTGCCCATGGCGTCGTCAATCGCCAGCATAAGTTGAGAGAGAGGGGACCGGTGTAGTCTCTTCTTCCATCAAAGTCCTTCTAAATCTTTAGATCTATCATTGAAAAGTAAGGGTGCGTGGACAGTATGATCGACTCACAAATTATATCAAATTTCGCCCTCAAGGGACTCCTACTGGGTCTCATAGCTTTGAGCTGCAGCGTGTGTCTCCCCGTCTCCCCACAGCCTTATGGATATGAACAGCATTGCTAACATTCGGAATTAACAGGCAGCGGGACTTTGCATTTCTCGACTTTTCTTTCACCCCTTAGCCAAGTATCCCGGTCCCTGGTTGGCAAAGATTACCACTTTGTATGCCGGTTATCATGCATGGCGCGGGGACCTGCATCTTGACATGTGGAGATGCCACGAGAAGTACGGTGAGTATCTCCGACTATCTATGGCATTCGAATTTTGAAGTACTAACGTCGGGTTCTCTCTGATCTTAGGTGACTTTGTCCGATATGGACCTAATAGCCTCCTTGTCAACACTGCCGATGGACTCCACGACATTTACAGCCACGGGAAAAACTTCAAAAAGGCTCAACGCTATGCTGCTATGGTGCATCGGGCCCCGAACACATTGACCGTGATTGACAAGAAGAAGCATGGCAAGAAGCGAAGAGTCATCAGCCAGGGCTTTTCAGACTCTGCACTCAAAAACCACGAGGTTGTCATCTTGGAACAAATAAAGCACCTTTGCAACCAGCTGAAGGCAGGAGACGGAGGTAAGCCGGTGCCAGCAGAGACCTGGTCTACGCCCAAGAATATGGGCCGAATGAGTATGTGCTTCCCACTGAGATACCCCGGATATCCCATGAAACTAACACAGAGCCATGTTTTTCCAGCCGACTACCTCGCCTTCGACGTCATGAGCAACATCATCTTCGATTGCCCCTGGTCAACCCTGCGTGACTCCACCTTCCGCTTCGTCCCGGAAGTGATCGAGAAGTCCAACGTTCGAGTCGGAACCCTGGCTCAATCGCCCGTGCTCAGCATTTTTCGTCTGGACAAATACCTCTTCCCCGAAGCCATCAAGGCCAGGAACATGTTCATCAGCTTCGTCGAGGTGATGCTCACCCAAGGCATCGAAGCAGCCTCCAAGACAGGCAAGGGTGTCTTCGCACTCCTCGCAAAAGCCAAAGACCCGGAGACCGGTCTTCCCCTACGCAACCGAGAACTAGGCGGCGAGAGCGCAACGCTGATTGTCGCGGGAACCGACACCTCCTCTACCGCGATGGCGGCCTGCTTCTTCTACCTATCGCACAACAGCGCAGCCTATCAGCGCGCCGCGAATGAAGTTCGCACTATCTTCACGTCCCCCGACGAGATCCGCATGGGTCAGCAAATGAATCAATGCGTGTTCCTGCGTGCCTGCATTGACGAGAGCATGCGCATGTCCCCATCAGCGGCTGGATCGCTGTGGCGCGAGGCCGAGGAAGCAGGAGCTACCGTGGACGGACAGTATATCCCCCCTGGTGTGGATGTGGGAACTTGCATCTACAGCATCCATCATAATCCGGCTTATTATCCTGAGCCGTTCTGCTTCCAGCCCGAGCGGTGGATCGCGGATGAGTGTCGTTCGGTACAAGGGGATGTTGGACGCGCACGATCAGCGTTCAATCCTTTCTCAATCGGGCCCCGCAGTTGCATTGGAAAGAGCCTCGCTTATGTGGAACTTCATCTTGTGTTGGCGAGGGTGCTTTGGGAGTTTGATATCCGGCTTCCAGGAGGGGATCTGGGGAAGATTGGTGAGGGTAAGGTGGGTGCGGAGTTTGGCCGGCACCGTACTGATGAGTATCAGCTCTATGACCATTTGACTGCTGCGAAGGAGGGGCCGTATTTGGAGTTTTGTCCACGAAGTTAAGGGTGAATGTGCATTGGTTCACCGGATATTGGGTATTATATTTCTGGTTGGGGGTTTGGCGTTCTTGGTACATTCATTATTTTTATCATTAGAGAAGTCGTTTCATTGATTGTATCTACTCCTTTTCTTGTGTATTATGCGAACAGACCATTCATGAAATACCAGGCAGTGTGTGAAGTATAAGAGAGACTTGTTCAAGGGCCGTTATCGCCGGACGGACTCCGTATTGTCTACAGAAGTCAAATGACAGGGCGCTAGTAGAGTACGTTATGATTGCAAGAGTCAATGAAATCATCAGATAGGCCCAGCTTGCTACGGCAGATGAGAAGTATATCATAGCGACAAACATAAAAGCCCGAAGCAAGTATCCTAATGGTTGATCCCGTCCAGCATAAGCCTTGTTGGGGGAGTAATTGATTTTGCTTAGCCCATTCGGAATATTGAGCAGGGAGACAATTGACGAGAACACCATTCCCTAATAGCATTCGCAAACCCAACCATGAAGCAAGCTTATGTTAGCATGTGGCTGGTGGACGGTACAGCTATAGCACCTACCTTATATCACATTATCAACACGATGCAATGTTCCCTTTAGGAGACGGGAAGATGGAGTGATAGAACAGCAGAAATATACACGAGTAAATATAAAATGGCCAGGCCACGATTAGTAGGCTAGGCAACAATAAATATACCCTGACAGACCAGCCCAGTCCTCTAGCCCCATCCAGGGTATTCCAGCAGTATAGCCAGGGTGTCACTCTCAGTAGTCACTAGGCATTTAGATATAGGCCTGTGCACGCGGGATCTGTCCTCATCGAACAACGCCTGAAAAGTCTATTCTCGTTCCGACCAGGTAAAGTGGGACCCGAGAGAATCTGACCAGCCAGCTTACTTGAACTGTAGGGGTAAGTAGATGGAAGTTGAGAATAACCAAACATTGAAAGAGCTTCGTGACTTTCTAGGTAGATGGTCTACATATTCTGCTTTTGAGCGATATGTGCCAACATTCTAGTATTTCCGCGCCCGGCTGTCTCAGACAGCCGGTCCATATCGTATCCCAGGAAGAGCAGCATTGACCAGGTGGACAAACCATCTCAGCCGTAAGGCTTCCCTAGTGCAGAGCCACGATCTTCCCCCCCAAACTTGGTTTGCTGGGCTCCGAAGACCGTTCGTTCCATGACTAGGCTAAAGTACGAAAGTACCAGCTTTTCTGAGCGGTCACTGGTCAACCCAAGTGAGACATCCCCCACCTCGACCGGGAACATCCGCTCGATCAGGATCATGGTTGCCTGCGCCCTCATACCAGTTGTATACAGCCCTTTGGGATAGGACTGGGATAGGAAGGAAAAGCGATTACTTCACCTATCAGAGCTGCTTATATAGGTGATTTAATCTCCTTCCGGGAGCCCCAAGCGCCCAACGAACCATGCCTATAGGGAATAGACGACTAGCTCCATTGGCCGAGGGGCTGACCTTTGATGTCAACGGTGTTTTGGCCCAATGGTTGCGGGAAAAGGGTCTTATGACATAAGTTCGTCTTAGCTTGAAGTTGAAGGGTATAAAGCTGCCTAGCCTCCACTGGTTAATGAATTCCGTAGCCTCAGACTATTCCTACATCTATACCCCCCTGGCACCCAGGACAAATACAGTAAAAGAAAAAGCGATGCTATCGGAGTTCTGGTTAGGTTCCCCAAATATATCTGGTGTGTCAGTTGCGTGAGAGAGTAACTAACAGAGCCAATTTTCAGTCCCAGCTATGGGGTGAGTACTTTCCAACTTTAGTCAAAGCAAACAAAGACAGTTTCTAACCTTCAAAGCCTCTCTTCGGAGTCCTCGGCTGTACAAGCGCCATCGTATTCACGAGCATCGGAGCAGCCTACGGAACCGCAAAGGCCGGGGTGGGCGTTTGTTCATCGGGTGTCTTGCGGCCGGACTTGATCGTCAAAAGTATTAGTCCACATCTATACTACCCTGCCTGTAGTGTTCCATGAGCTGATCGGTCAAAGATATCGTACCCATCGTTATGGCCGGCATCCTAGGCATATACGGCCTCGTTGTTTCGGTGCTGATTGCCAACAACCTCGCGCAAGAGATGGCTCTGTACACTAGTCTGCTTCAGCTGGGCGCCGGACTGGCGGTTGGGCTTTGCGGACTGGCTGCTGGGTAAGTAGGCTTTATATGAGAACTTCTATGGATATCCGTCGTTGGATATGGGCTGATTAATTGCAGGTTTGCAATTGGGATTGTCGGTGATGCGGGGGTGAGAGGGACCGCGCAGCAGTCGAGACTTTACGTGGGCATGATCCTTATTCTGATCTTTGCTGAGGTCTTGGGTATGTTGCTCAGACATGTGTTTCTCTGAAGAACGGATGGCAGCTAATGCGGCGGGATGGTAGGGCTGTACGGCTTGATTGTCGCGCTGTTGATGAATTCCAGGGCAGGCGTTGTCGACTTCAAGTGCAGTAGCTGATTCTTTAAGATTCAGTGTGGCACGCTGGAACTGTGGGTACAAGGTTGTGCGTGTATTCCAGTACTTCACCGTTTCATCAGTGGTGAAATCACTGGAAACGAGTCGGTCACTCTCTTAGTCGTGACCCAGTATCCGTGTATACCCTGCGTGCTCTTCATCAGGAGGCAGGCACTATCAGCACCTCCGGGCTCTCTCATGAGCCTAACATGCATCATAGATTCAAGGACATTGGTAAATGTCTGATTAGCTTGCGAGTTTGACCTCGGTATGCCATTGAGAAATTTGGGAAAACGTTAGCATCCTTCCTCAGAAAGTATTTATAGTCCCCGGGCATGGAAGGCACCTAGCACCGGCCCCCTAGGCCATCTTCTGGGAGATGGTCGCATCTGGTTCACAAGAATGAGCGGGCACGAGCTCTACTACTTACTAATTTACAGGACTCCTTCTCAACACTAATAAAAGTACCCATTTATTGTTTCATTCCTCGTAAACATCGTAGAAATATATTATAAGAACCATCGGAACCCGACAGCGCCCGGTCCATCGCGCAACCTTTCAGTCGGGACATCCTGCGCCCGCATCCTGACACCCTCCTTACGATCCCTCCGGTGATTATCCACAAGCATATATACCCCCAACAGCGCCGCCAGAATAGCACCAGTTCCACCGAATGCACCCACTGTGACGAGGGCAGGCAGATACTTGGGCTTATCTTTCTCCCGGAAGACATTACTCGACACCAAGCCCATTAGGTTCGCCAACGGCACACCAATACTCGTCAACAGCACACGCTTGTTCTCATCTGCAATGTTGTTGTTATACCATGTGGAGAGCAGCACCGACGGCGCAGAGGTACCCCAGGTCATCATGAAGGTGGCAAAATACGCTAGGTGGATCTGGCGATCGACGTCGTCGATAGCGGCGTAGATCATGAAGCCTGTGAAAGTGAGGAGGAAGCCTAAGACGATGAAAGGAGCGCGGAGGCGGACGGCATCTGATGCAAAGGCGAGGACGATGAGCATGGCGGCTCCGGTGACATTAGGGGCCACGGTGTAGAGGTTGGTTTTGACGGTGGAAAAACCCAGGCGTTGAATGATCTGGGGCATGAAAAGGGAGACGCCCTGCAGGGGCACACCGAGACAGATTTCGATGGCGAGGAAGGCGTAGGTGGAGGGGTGTTTGAAAATGCCGAGAGCGGAGCGGAGGTGGAAGGGTTCGTCGACGATGGCAGAACTGTCCACTTGAATGCGGTGATGGGCGAGAAGCCTCTCGTCTTCGCTGAGGAAGGAGGCTGTGGAGGCGGAGCGAGGAAGGTACCAGAAGGCGAAGCAGGAGAAGAGAACGGTGACACCGCCTTCGAGAATGAAGAGGTAACGCCAGTCTGGGAGAGAGGAGTTTTTGATTTGAAAGACGCCGAAGGCGAGTAGGCCGGAGAAGGCGTTGGCAATGTTGCTGGCTGCGTAGAAAATGGCGAGGCGACGGGCGAGCTCGCCACGCCGGTAGAAGGTCGTGAGGTAGTAAATGACTAGCGGGAAGAAGGCCGCTTCAGACATGCCGAGGAACCAGCGTAGAGCGAACATGCCACCGAAGTTCTTGGTCGCGGACGAGAGCAGTGTGAATGAGCCAAAAGAGAACATGAGCACGGGCAATACGCGTGCGGGACTCCAGCGCTTGCCGAGCATGGCAAATGGGGGCGCGAACACAACATATGGGACGTAGAAGATGGATAGGAGTAGGTTATATTGGCCGGGTTTGAAGTTAAGATCTGGTAATGTTAGCGACGGTAGATATAGAAGGAGCGAGGGCTGGCTCACCATCGCTCATGCCGGCGGTTTCGGCGTTACTGAGGTTGCCTTTATCCAGGGCATTGAAGAGGTCTAGAGTTATGAGCAGGTGAGAAAATAATATCTAGATGGATGTACGTACACATCAATGCGAGCACGGGAAGTATACGGAAATCGAAGCGGCGACAGAGAGCCCGTTCGGCCTTGTGGTCGATGACCTGGACGACATCTTCGACGACCCCCGGGACAGAGCCGTAGCGATCGATGTGTGAAGCATCGTCGGTGATGGAGTCGCGTGTAACCGACTTTTGGACTTTCGGCGGCGGATCCGAGGCTTGGGCGATCATGGTTCCTCCCAACGGCGGAAGTATGTCAGAGCTGAGAGGATAGGGAAGGGGGTGTTGGAGGAAGGGTTGTTTTCAAGAGGTGACGATGCAAGGAGGGAAGGGAGAAAGACGGTCTGCTTTATGCATAAACAAGAACGGACAGGAACAGGCTTATCAGCCGGCCGTGAGGAGGATAACTGGAACCCCCCACGGCTTCTCCGCAGATCTGGCGATGCGACGACGACGGATGCGGCAAGGTTGCATCGCGGTGGCCCTTATCAGCCGGAGAGATAGCGTTGGGCGATATCGGCTGCGATGTTAGTTATCAGCACCCCTGTCAGTGCTCGAGATAAGTCAGATTAAGGGTCTTGGCTGCGTGTCACCGCTCGCCCTGCAAGATACACCTATGTAAGCAGTCTGATTAACGATTATAACCATCAACTTGCAGGGTCATGAAGGGGGTTTGAGGATGAGGGACAGATTGAGTTTGCTTCTTCACTGGGGTTACATTGACCCTCATGTGAACTTCCCCGCATTCAAGCTTCGCCATGACGCGGATCGACTCTATCGTCCCTTGGATACGAGATGCACCCCTTCAACATTTGCCGAGGTGCAGACACTTCCCGAGACGCACGGTGACTCTCCATGCTGTCAGTGCGCTGGCCTGGTACGGAGCACTCAAAGTCAATAACACGGAACATTTCCACGTTGTCTGTTGACACCCAGCGACTGATCATCATCCACAGTCTAGTCTCTACTCCTTTCTCTTAAAATAGTCCTTCCCGGACATTTGCAACCTCAGAGGTAGCCTTCGTGGGGATGTCTCTTAGTGTATTGCGATGACCACAATTGGTCGCAGAAAGCCATTCATATGGCACGAATAAGGACCGTACAGTCAGTGTGCTGTCCTCCAGTATATATCAAGTCAACATACCTTTCTCATGAACCGATATCCGGAAGGCAGTCATACTGCGGTTAAAGCATCAGATAATACGGACAATATGGCAGCTCAAGGAAGCCCACCTCTTGCTAGGCGATTTGAAAGAGTCTTAGCATCGGTCCTTGTCCAGAGGTTTGATCAAATCGTGACCATAATCAGAAACTTTTTTCTCGGTCGCTTCAATCTCCAGTCGCGACCAAGCAAGGGGGCAGCAACTGGCGATGCGTGGCTGCCCTTCTAGCTCTGACATTTCCTTGAGCAGGTGCTCCAAATTTGGTGATGTGCAGAACTGTGCTCCTTCATCTGCAGATCGTCAATAATGAGATCGAGGCCAATGGAGCTATCTCCGGCCAGTCGTCCGAGGTGAATACACGGACTGACCTTTCTTTAACTTATACCACCTGGTCTTGCGATCGTGGGCGTTGCTTCGTTTGCGCATCCCTTGCTTGCTGAAATTTGCATTATTTTGGTTTGGACTAGACGCGAGGCGCATAGCGCTCGACACCTAGCGAGGGTGTCTTCCTGGAACCGATTGCAAAGGACAAAGCCTTCGTCCCGACAAGCGATCATCAGTCGCTCTATCTCAATATCGGCGTTGTGGATAATATATATGACGGGATGAGCGGTTGCTGCGCTGATTCTTATTCCTGCAGGTCTTGTAGTAAGCATCCCACAGAAGGTCACAGACAGTCATCGGACAACAATGACAGACAATGGCCAGCGCTTTGTTGATTGATTTGGCAAGGCGCACGGCCAACACTGTTCTTGTTGGCCACTATCATCAGACATAGTGACCCTAAAGTGGCGTTTCGGTTACCCAAATCCAAGTTGCGAGGTAGTTACATTATTGACGCTATTATCGAAAAGCTATCCTGTCATTGCTTGGGCTGATAAGGGGCCTCGAACCATTGCAGTGACTGGGAATATACCAGAGGCGACATTTTTGTGGCGGTTTATGTAAGACAGTCGGGGAACGGAGCAACGGAGACTTACCCGGAGACTTTTGCCCTGGTACTATAGACCGTGTTATTGCTCCGGATTGGGACTGACAAATCGACCTTTGGACAGCATCAGAGGAGACTGCATTGTGTGTTGAGATAGATCAGCTTAGCAGCGTCCTCTTTTAGGCCACTCTCTTCGCATTGCCAAAATGTACTCCTTCGTATCTCCTCAGCCTCTTCCTCCATCGCTACCGTCAAATAACACTCAAATCGAGTTGCAATGGCTACCTCATCTCCAGGAGCGCAGGAAATTGCATCGCATGACATCGAAATGTCATCGAGACATGATGATGGTAAATAGTTCTTGAAGATGTCTCACAATAGCTGGGGCCTTATCAATCCATTGACTAACTCATAATGATTCACGTGTAGTTTCTGAACAGACTGCGCAAGATGAATACGTCTACATTGCGGATAGATACAACTTGCTTCGGCGGATCATCTTCATCATGACGGTGTGTTCATCCATGTTTACCAATCAGTTGGGCCTATGCAACAGCCTCACGACTCTCGAAATAATCGGCGATTCCTTTGGTGTCACTGCTCCTGGTCAACTCTCGTGGACAGTATCTGGCTATGGCTTGACTCTAGGCACATTCGTGTTGATCGGGGGACGTTTGGGCGACGAGTTTGGCAACAAGGCAATTTTCATCATCGGCATGGGCTGGCTTGCCTTGACCAGCATGATGGCAGGAGTCTCTGTCTATTCCAGCTGGCCCGTCTTCGTCCTTGCTCGTGTCCTGCAGGGCCTCGGTCCCGCCTTAACTGTGCCTAATGCACTCGCTATCTTCGGAAAATGCTTCTCGCAGGGCCCTCGTAACATGGGGTTCGCATGGTTTGCTGCATCAGCTCCAGTCGGTGCGATGGCCGGTCTCCTCTTTGGGGCCCTCTTCGCCATGGCGTGGTGGCCATGGATCTACTGGAGTCAGGCTTTTGGGGTTGCCTTTCTCTTCGTGCTCGCCATATTTGCAATTCCAAACATGCCTGTTGAAGGTGAAAAAAACCAGCGACGAACAATACGAGAAACTATAGACCGCCTTGATCTCCCGGGAGGTGCTACCGGTGTGACAGCTTTGGTTCTGTTCAACTTCGCCTGGAATCAAAGCCTGGTCACTACGTGGGATGAACCCTATGTGTATGTGTGTCTCATCCTCAGCTTCCTGTTCCTGGTGGCGTTCCTTTTCATCGAAATTCGCCTAGCTCGCCATCCAATCCTACCTGTCGCCGTCCTCACCTCCGACATCGCTTTCGTCTTCGGATGTACAGCAGCCGGCTGGTCCACATTTGGCATCTGGGTGAGTACATCTCTTCGGCCCCATATTATTTTGTTAAACTAACGATGTGTCCAGCTCTTCTACGTCATCCGAATATGCCTTAACATCGGCGGTCAAACCCCCATCCAACTAGCCGCATGGCTCTCGCCCATCCTCGTTACCGGCATATCAACAGCATTGATAGTAGGCAAAATAATCACCAAGGTTCCCGCACCATTCATTATGTTGTTTGCAATGCTGTGTTACTTCCTCACTTCTCTTCTCATGGCCTTGCGACCCGTACACTCGACGTACTGGACCTACTTTTTCTTCGCCACCATCATTGCCACCTTTGCTATGGATTCATCATTGCCTGCTGCCACGATCATCTTCTCGAACGCGGTGCCTCGACAGTATCAAGGGATGGGATCTAGTGTGATCATGACCATTGTTGTGTATAGTATCTCGCTCGGTCTGGGTTTCGCTGGTACTATTGAACTTCAGATCAACAATGGCGGACACACGAAGGCAGAGTTGCTGCATGGTTACCGGGGTACGCTCTGGTTTTCGGTCGGGTTGACGGCATTCGGCACTATTCTTGCACTTATCTTTCTACTCAAAGATCTGAGAAGACGAAAATTGGCCAGGAATCAAGAGGGAGAGGAAAAGAATGATTCATCGGAAAGTTGATCGCTCGAAGACCTGATCCAGGACTACAGGTGGAGTATTGACTAGAAGGGATTCGAAGACTCCGACCTGGCCAAGCATGATTGTTGAGAAGTGATCGTAAATGGGGGGCTTAAAAACAACGTTTTAGACTGGCAGAACTTGTGTAGAAGCATGAAACCCTCCGCCCTCCGCCCCCGGTCGCCATGATTCCGGGACCTGGTCGGGGCTGTTGTTGATCATTGGAAAAACTACTAGATCACATTACTACTTCTACATAAAACATTTAATTTCGTCTACTCTAACTTTGGAAGATCACTGGTGAATGAAAGAATTCTTGGTCCAAAAATAAATTTGCGGATTACTTGGCTACAACATCAGCAAATTCATACTTCATTGTTCATGGACATGACCTGGTCTTCAAATATGATATTTGAGTGTACTATTTTCTGGCAACTTACTTTTTCGGAAATGTTTTGTGTCTGACCGGGTTGTATTTCTCTCTCCAGCTGCTGTCAGTATACTAGGAAATGGGAATGATTTCTTTGCGCTTTAAGATGAGATATAAATTCCGAGTAAGAGTACTGTATCTTTCATACCCTGAAGGTATTAGTGCCCGGCTGTCGCGACCTCGGTAATACGATCTTCCATGCCCTCCACCAGCTGGACCAAGACGCCCGCCTCCTCCAGTCGCTTCCTTCCCGTGTTTTCCCCGATGAATTTCTCCGGCTCCTTGATTCCAACGTAGACAACCTTGATTGCGTCGCCCAATTGGAGTATCCGCTCCACGCAGGTTCGATTGCCGCTCAGCCTTCGGTTGCAGGGCTCCATGGTCGTGTACAAAACAGTATTTTGGGGCAACACCTTCCCAATTTGATCCTCGGCAATATCATGCTGTTCGGCCACTTTGATGAAACAGCAGTGTTCCGCGTGGGTGTTGCCTGGATCTCCCGGACGATTTCCTGGTAGTTCCATTGAATATCCGGTTGAGAGGATCTCATTTTTGTCGGCATCGACCAGAACTGCTCCGACACAGAACTTCGTCGGAGCTGGAGGTGAGAGACGAGCTTGGTCGAGAGCATATTCCATATAGGCTTTATGATCGCCAGCTGGAATACTGGGGTGGCTTGACTTAGCGGCCATTGTACGGAAGCACCAGTAGGGGATTTGATTGACAAGCAGGAGTCTAACAAATGTGCTGCACCTCAATCGAGCGAAAATGATCTTGGGTGGTGTATGTATCACGAAGGAAAACAAAGAATGCAGTACGAGAAAGACCGCATGGATCGATCATTTCTTCCAATGGCCCCTGGGATGAGGGGGGAAGGCTGTTGCGGGCCGCCATCATCCCCCTTTGACAGGTTAGGGTGCTTAGGGGCGCTAAATTATCCACTCAAAGTCCGTAACGCGCCCCACGGTATATGTAGGTGTAGTGGGAAATTGTTACCCAGCCACGTACTTTGGCACCAGAGGCCGTCGAAGCGCCAACTGCTTATTCGGGAATGGCATCATCGCTGGGGTGTTGACGTTAGCGCCCAGGCCGTTCTTTCCCTCCGGACAGTATGGTAGGTTGACAGAAATCTCAGAGCTGTTGGGTGCTCTACCTTCCTATAATAATCAGATAATCCCGCTCATAGAAGGTCACAACGGTAAAGGTGGGTGCCGTTTTCGCTTCTTTGCCCTTCCGTTGTCTCACTGTGGTTCACGGAAAACATGGAGCAAATCAACCGCCAGCTACCACTACTGGCCACAGGAGTGGCTTCCCAAGGATCCTGCATTCAGCAATGTGAGAGTACACAGTTTCGGCTACAACTCGGACTATTTAAAGGGCAAAGGTAATTGTCTGGACATACACCATTTTGCAAAGTCCCTATTAGGGGAGTTGAGCACCTCTCCACATCTGAGTCAAGCGGACACACCAATAGTGCTCTTGGGACATAGTATGGGCGGCTTGGTTATCAAAAAGGCTTATCTACTAGCGAGTCAAGATTCCATTTTTGAGAAGCTTGTGAAGCGCTTTCATGCAGTTTATTTCTTTGCCACACCCCATAGAGGGTCTGACTCGGCTAAGCTACTTGAAAATATCCTAAAGATAACGCATTCCTCTCGCGCATACGTTTCCGACCTCAAGCGCGGCTCCAGTACGATACAATCTATCAACGAGGAATTTCGGAATCACACCGGCAAGATGGAACTATGGTCGTTCTACGAGACATACAAACTCGCCGTTGGACTGTTCAGCATACTCATCGTGGACCCCGATTCAGCCACTCTTGGATATCGTGAGGAGCAACAGATCCCATTAGGAGCCGATCATCGCTCAATCTGCAAGTTTGATGCGGTCACAGATCCTAATTATATCACCGTTCGAAATGCCTTAGCCTTGACTGTGAGCCGAATATCGCACTCAGGTGAGTCTCCACATTAACGACACATATGACACCTATGGACAAGTGTCTGACTCAGATAAGTGGTCACGTCGAAGACACAGCAAGTGAGAAACCAGTTACAGCAGCTCGAGACGTATCTAGGCGTTTATGAAAACATTGATGATGACCTTATCCTTCTCGAAGACACTCGTATGAAAGGTACTTGTGAGTGGTTTGCATCCAAGTCCAGTTTCCTTACCTGGAAAAGCCTTGAAAAGAGCGGTCCAAACGTCTTTTGGGTCCATGGAAAACCAGCCACTGGGAAGTCGGTGCTTGCTGGATATGTTGTCAGTCAGCTACACAAGACCAATGCTGGTTGTAGTTTCTATTTCTTTAGATATGGTGATAAGTCTAGATCTCGACTTAGTGGATGTCTGCGATCCCTGGCTCTCCAAATGGCTTGGACAAATGCCAAGGTTAGGGAATCACTTCTTGAAATGCAAAGCCAGGGAGTCAGACTTGATAGTGAAGATGAGCGGGTGCTATGGAGAAGGCTATTCCAGCCCGGCATTCTTCAGGCTATCCCTGAGGGCCATTATTGGGTGATTGATGCACTCGATGAATGTGCCTCCTTGTCTTTATTCTTCGATGCCATACTCACTAATCTCGACAAATCGACTCGGCTACGGATACTGGTGACTAGTAGGGCGACCCCGGGGATATGTCGATACTTTTCATCGCTTGGAGCGCATAATGTTATGTCGGAGCAGGTCTCCGTGTCTGACACTCTTCAGGATATAAAGCTGCTCGTCGAGGCCAAATCAGAGTCTTTGGCAGTCGGTGGAGGCAAAGACCGCAATAAATTAGTGTCTAAGATTTTGGATAAGTCCCAAGGGTCGTTTCTGTGGACTGCCTTGGTACTTAAAGAATTGTCAAATTCGCACAGTGAGCAGGAGATGAACAAGGTTCTGCAGGATATGCCTCGGGATATGGAACGGCTCTATATGAGATCGCTCGACTCGATGTCTCAAGCTTCACAGGGAAAGACATTAAGCAAGGCTGTTCTTACCTGGACTACATGCGCTACGAGGCCACTCAAAATCCCTGAGCTTGAAGTCGCCTTGAGGCTGGACGTCAACGATCATTTCCCGAGGTTAGAAGAAAGTGTATTATCACTCTGTGGCCAGTTTGTGACAATTGACAAACTTGGCAAGGTCCAGATGGCCCATGAGACGGCGAGGGAGTTTCTTCTCGACGCCAACCTCAAGTCTGAGTATGCTATCAGGAAGGAAGAAGCACATACTCGCATTGCTCGAACTTGCCTTATGTACCTCACAGGCGACGAGATGAAGCCCCCTCGGACGGGTAGACGAGGTGCTGCCGCCTTCTCTTCAAGAAAGAAGTCGAATTTCTGCGCCTATGCCTGTTCAGAGTTCTCGTTCCACCTATCAAAGTCAAGTCCACTTGCAACTGATGTCTTCCACCTACTTGTAAAGTTTCTAAGGGCGAATGTCCTGTCATGGATAGAGATGGTTGCGCAGACCAAGGATCTTAATCTTATCATCCGCGCCGCAAGACATCTCAGGAAATACCTCAAAACCTGTATGGCACATCTCCCGCCTGTTGGTGGTGACATGCCTGTTATCAGAGGCTGGACAACGGATCTGGTACGCGTTGCTGCCAAATTTTCTGACGCTCTACTGATTTCGCCCGCGGCCATTTACTCTCTCCTCATACCTTTCTGCCCTCAGCAATCCATAATTTACAATGCTGGGAAGACTGTGAAAAGGCTTTCCGTGATGGGCCTCTCCCAGAACCAGTGGGATGATCGACTGGCATGTATTGAGTTCAGTCGGAGTCAAACAACGGCCATCTGCTACGGCGAGATGATTTTTGCAGTTGGTTTGAGTTCCGGAAAGGTCGCGCTGTATGATGCTACGTCGTGTCAAGAGTTTACAACACTGGAGCATGGAGAAAGAGTGATGCATTTGCAATTGTCTAGCAGACGCGGGCTGATTGCTGCATGCGGAATGAAGACAATCAACACATGGGAGATTCTTAGTGGCCGGTTGGTTTCCACTTATCCTGCTCCATCCCGGCCACTAGAGATGATAGTTCTGGATGATCGACTTATAGTTGCGTCAGCCAAAAATTACTTGGCGTCGTGGGGACTCGACGGCGGCGAAATTCAATATCCCCATCGGCCATGGAACGATTCTGACAATATGAATGTTCAGACACATCGAGTTCCTTCTGCCGTATCAATATCAGTCGGTCACCAAATGATGGCAGTTGCCTACAGCCGACGGCCCATCATCCTCTGGGACCTCCAGGAGGACGCCTATTATGGGAGCTGCGGGAAGAAACTCGCCAATGGCGAAACTAGCAGACACATGGTCACTGCATTGGTTTTCAATCCCAACCCTTCGATCGAACGCCTTGTGGTAGCCTATCTCGATGGAGAGCTTGCCCTCGTCGATCCATTCCAGGATGAGGTTCTGGTGAGCTTCCGGGCCAATTGTCAAACCCTAGCAGCTAGTCCTGATGGGCGTCTGCTAGCGGGAGGTGTCGGATCTGGAATAATTCAAATATATGACTTCGAGACATTAACGCTTCTTTACCGGGTTGAGTCCACGAAACTTTACATCAAACAGTTCGCATTTAGCCCGGATAGCCTGCGACTGGCCGACATCAGGGGTACAGAATGTAACATCTGGGAGCCTGCTATTCTTCTTGGAGACTTAGGCGGAGACGACAGCAGCCAGGCTACGTCAAATACTGTGTTCGAGACAGTGGCTACAGAGACAAAAGTCAAAATCACTGCGCTTACTGTGGACGTCCAGGAAGATGCCGTATTCTGCAGCAAGAGCGATGGATCAGTATGTCTCTACAATATACGAGCAGGCAACGAGATACGCACACTCTATCATCATGAGATTAGTGTCCACGCACTCAGCTGGCTACCCAAGGCCAAACTCCTGCTGAGCATCGACGTGTCGAACAAAATATTAGGGTGGAGTCTCAAGAAGTCACCGCCTGAACGTTGGCTCCCAGACGAAGTGATCTTCCAATCACGTCTCGACTGCGGACATGCGATTACCCAGGTACTGGCTAGTGATGTCGCAGGGAAATTCATTCTGTCCACTCGGGAAGCAGATCATCTGTGGAGTACCAGCGGTCACGAACTAGACATGCGAAGATATTCGTCGAAACCCGGCATCCGCAAGTGGCTGCAACATCACGACTCGGAAGAACACGTGGTCTGCTTTGAAGGCGCGACCGCTCGTATCTATACTTGGAGTGACTGGACGGAAGTAGCAATAGTCGAGGTCCATATTGATTTGGATGGTCTACAGATCAAGAATGCCTTTCCTTGTACATCCGCAAGCAAACAACGCATCCTTCTCGAGTTATCGGAGTTAGATGGCCCAGCTAAGACATGCAGGCTCTACCTGCTCGATACGAAGGCGTTTGCTGTTTATAACGAAGGAGATAATCCAGATAGTCCCAGCGAGATATGCGCAGGACAGGAAGATACACTACTGCGGAACAAGCTAATCCATACTGACCGAACATCGAGCCAATGCCTTATCAACAGATTAACCACCCTGAGCAGATATATCACACATTGTATCGGTGTTACCGCATCCTCCAAAATTGTGTTTCTGGATACCCACTCCTGGGTCTGTACTGCTGACCTGGACAAACCGGATGACAGCAAAGAGCTATACTTTCGCCATTTCTTTGTGCCATATGATTGGTTTTCGGGGTCAAGGAACATAATCTCGACCGTTGCTAGGCGAGATGTCTTAATGACATGCAAGTCAGACCTTGCTGTAATCAAAGGAGGATTGGAATACACGCTACCGGTGAATTCTCCAAGACCTACAAATGAAGGTTAATATCGGTGCCTGGAGGCTGCCAGATCTACCTTATGATGCACAGCATAGTATCTTGGTATGATAAAGGGAAATGCCTCACAGTAGTATTACAAAAGTCAAATGCGCGGCCCTTCTTGGATGTAGCCAATCTATTGGGCACTTGCGCGATTGAAACAGCTGTCCTGCAAAGACGTCCATAATCTGATAGGAAACAAGCCCATGCTCAAGTAAAGTGGAGAATTACGTGTCGCTCCGCCAACTATCAATATACGAGCAGAACATGCCATCGCAGGTACGATATATGGGAGTAACCTAGTAGAAACGCAAACTCGTACCCATCGCGGATAACATTCTAAGTTTTGCCTCCGACCTCCGACCTCCGACCTGCGGAGCTTTGCTTAAGCGGGCCAATAACGGACCGCGGATCGAGTAACCCTGCCTTATTTCCGCAGGGCAGGCGTTGTACCACGGTTTCAAATCAATCTATATGCGTCATCCTGTCCGAGGGAATCGGGTAATGATCCTCACACTGATGGGAGATCAGGCCGCGTATCCCTCGGCGCAAATATCCGTGAAGATGCATGATACCCGTCGGAGCACCGTTAAGGGGTCTGTCTGCTCGCCGACCTCCGATACATTGCAGCCTTACTTAAACACTGTGTCTGTCCCCAAGCATCCCGAACTATCATTTCATTATCATTCTGAATCATTCCGTTGGCCCCTATTAGCATCCAAGACACGATGAATCAGTCTCGGCGTGCGAGGCTCGCTGTCGCCACACTCATCCCTTCCCTGATCGGGGCCAATGCCGCGCTCTACGACACCGTCATCAAAACGCAGTATGGTGGCGTGCAAGGCTACCCGGCCTTCACCAGCGAGCCTGCCGGCAACCTGACCCATTGGAAGGACATCACCGTCTGGAAGAATATCCCCTTCGCCGCCACCACCGGGGGTCAGAACCGCTGGAAGGCACCCCAGCCGGCAAGCCCATGGAACGGCACCCTTGATGCTAAGTCTTATGGAAATGTTTGCCCGTCAGCCACTGAGGGCAGCTCTGACTATACCATCGACGAGGACTGCTTGAATCTCAACATCTGGAGTCCCGCCAACTCCACTGACGCAAAGCTCCCGGTTGTGATGTGGAGCTATCCCGCCCTTTCAACGGCTGCTGATGCCCTGTTTGACGGTGGTGGCATGGCAGACCAAGGTATTGTCTACGTTAATTATAACTATCGTACTGGCTCATTCGGTTGGCTTGCACACCCGGAGTTGTCGGAGGAGTTCTACAAGGTGACGGGATCCAACAGCTCCGGCAACTGGGGCATGCTCGACCAGTTTGCAGCGCTCAAGTGGATCCACGAGAACATCGCCGCGTTTGGCGGTGATCCTGAGCACATCACGGTCATGGGTCAATCCGCTGGGTCGGCCGCCACCCAGCACATCCTCAACAGCCCGCTGACCAAGGGCCTGATTGTCGGCGCCATCATTGAAAGCGGAGTTCGGGATCCGCACGACCCCCTCTGCACCAGTCTGGCAGAAGGCTACAGCACATTGGAGGATCAGCTGGCCCAGGGTGAACGCTTCATGGCCAGCGTGAACTGCAGCTCCATCGCCGAGATGCGCGAATTGCCGATGGAGGATCTCGTCGTGTCGGGCGGAACGTTCGGCAGCAGCAGCGAATGGAGCTTCGGCGCCACTTTGGACTACTATGCCATGCCGGACACCTACTACAACACACTCATCAAGGGTCTGGCGCAGGACGTGCCCATCATTACAGGTAATACTAAGGATGAGAGCGGGGCTAGCTATGGCCTGAACCTCACGGTATCTGAGTACCTGGCAGACATGAATGAGACGTTCAGCGAGCCATGGCTCTCCCGCTTCCTGGAGCAGTACCCCGGAAACACAACGCGAACAGCCCCGGGAGCCTACAACTCCCAGTGGACTGACCGGTCCAAAGTAGGCACTTGGCTATGGGCGCAACTCTGGGCGACCGCGAGGACTAGTCCTGTATATACCTACTTCTGGGACCACGCTCCGCCGGGCCAGGACCAGGGAGCGTACCACGAATCCGAGATCAACTACGTCCTAAACAACCTGTACGGCACGGACATGCCGTGGACGGCTGCGGACTATTCCATTGCACGGAAAATGAATGGATACTGGGCCAACTTTATCAAGACAGGCAATCCTAATGGAGGATCCCTGGCCCAGTGGCCTGCCACGGGAGAGAACGCGACGGTGCAGCATGTGGGTGATGGATGGGGTGAAATCCCGACCGCATCAGATGCCAAGGTCAAGCTGTTTGAGGAGTGGTTTGAGACACTAAAGACCTACTGAGGGCGCATCAACATCTGCTTGTATATAGCCGTCTGTAATTAGCCATGCTTCATGTACATCATCTGTATGATAGCAACAAGTGCAAATTGCCTGATATGCTTCCCCGCATTCGTGGAGCCGGTCGATCATGGTAGATTACCCATTTAGCCGATACCATGCGTATATCTGCTTTACCCCAGCTGCTCAACCTATTCATGAAACCAAGGCAAAAATAATGAGAATATCACGTTAATTGAGCACCATCAATACAATCATGGCCCGTCACAATAATCATAACTTCCCCCTCTATCTCGTGATCCTCCTCTCCCTAGCCCTACCCATTCTATCCACCCCCCTTCCCTCTCTCCAGTCAGAATCACAATCCCAATCCCAATGGGTCGACATCTGGACCACAATGCCTCAACTCACCGAACCAGCCAACCTCCCCCCAGCCCCATTTGTATGTTCCCCCTCCCCTCCTCCATCTTGTACACACCACTGACTCAACCTGAATCCTTGATCGAAAAAGAACTCCACCCCCTCCATCTTCCCCAACACCACCCTCCGCCAAACCCTCCGTCTCACCCAACCAGCCCAAACCATCCGTCTCCGTCTCTCCAACGCCTTCGGCAGTACCGACCTCCCTATCACCTCCGTAGCCATCTCCGTCCCAGCCAACAACACCCTCGGCAGCGCATCCATCATCCCGGGTACCACAACCCCGTTATCCTTCGACGGAGACGCCTCGATCCTCGTTCCAGTAGGGAGTCTCATCGTCTCGGACCCAATCACCCTCCCGAAACAGGCGGGGACGACACTAACAGTGGACTTGTATCTGGAGAGCGGGCAGAACGGAACAGATATTACATCTCACCCGGGAAGTCGGACGACGTCGTGGATGGGGTTTGGGGATTTAGTTGGTGTGGATGAGGTAGTTGGGGGGGATGTGGTGGGGGTCGAGCATTGGTATATCCATCCCTTGGTCTTCATTTCATTATGCAACTATATCACACCCTCTTCGTCGGACAAAGCATACTAATAGAATTGAGGGAAAAGGTACTTCATCTCTACCATCGAAGCCCTCCTCCCAAATACCTACCATGGGTGCGCAATCCTCGGCGACAGCATAACAGACGGACGAGGGAGCGATACGAATGAGAATAACCGGTACCCTACCTCCCCTTTATCTCCAGCAATATGTCAAATGACTGACACATGATATGCTACGCACAGCTGGCCCGACCTCCTCCTCCCCTACCTCCACACCCCCCACTCACCAACAACAACCCTCTCCCTCCTCAACCAAGCCGCCGGCGGCAACCGGCTCCTCCACGACTCCCTCGGCCCAAACACCCTCTCGCGCGTCGACCGCGACGTGCTCTCGCACTCCCGCATAACGCACACGATCGTCTTCGAAGGCGTCAACGACATCGGCACAGAATCTACCTCTCCTACAGCGCAGCAAATAGTAGGCGATAGAATCATCATGTCCTACAAACAGATCGTCACGAGGCTGCACGCGGCAGGAATAAAGGTGATCGGAGCGACGATCACGCCGTTCGGGACACCGGCGAATGCGTCCGTCGTGCAGCCGTACTCGGATCCGGAACGGGAGAGGACGAGACAGAGGGTGAATGCGTGGATACGAGATTCGGGTGTGTTTGATGGGGTGGTTGATTTTGACCGGGTGGTTAGGAGGGATAAGAGGCCGGATTTGCTACGGGGGGAGTTTGATAGTGGAGATCATTTGCATTTGAATCCGAGGGGGTACGAGGCGTTGGCTAGGGCTTTTCCTGTGGAGTTATTGAATTAAGCTGAGTGGGCAGAGTGTGGTAGGTGGAATAGAATATTTTATTATGTCAATCGATTGACTGATTCAGCTACTACTAACTAACCAGCTAGCTAGATATTAATTAAGTTCGTTCACATACTCATGCTCGTTTTGCATCATACTCATACAAGATCTTCCTTCTCTCTAAGAGAGATGGTTTAGTATCCCCGCAGGCTGCGACGACGGGGCACACTGCGCTTGAGGGAAACACCGGCCTCAGCGGCATCAGCGTAGGGACCAAAGTCCGGGGATCCACCGAGGGTACCGAAGATATCACCGATGTAGTTGCTGGGGGTGATACCGGCAGCGAAAGTGGCGTTCCACTGGCTAATGATACCCTCGATGATCTTGACACCGGCGTTGTAGATGTTCTGGACAGAGGGCTCGTAGGCACCGGTAGAAGCGTAGAGGAGGTTCTCGCGGGCCGACTCGCCAGGGTAGGGGCGGTCGAAGTCGGAGGCGGTACGCATGACGATGATACGAGAGAAGTCAACGAGCTTAGCCTTGGCGGCACGGACCATGGCCTCGAGGGTGGCGTTGTCCTCCTGGGCAGAGGCGCAGTAGGTACCGGTACCGTTGGTCAGGACCTTGGTGGTGTTGGCGAAGGTATCGCCGAGGATGTTACCGGAGTAGTAGACGTCGCTGGTAGCGACATCGCACTGGACGACGGAGGGAGCGGAGGCACCGGCAGCGTAGATGCCGTCGGAGGTGTTGTAGTTAGCGCGGTAGGCCTTAGCGGCGTCGGAGTCCGCGAGGGTGGCCTTGCTGGCGAAAGCGGCGGCGATCTGGCGCAGGTTGTCGTTGACTTCGAAGACCTCGGTGCCGTAGATGCTGCCGGGGTATTGCCAGGGGTAGTAGGAGCCCTGGGGGAAGTAGCCGGTGGTGGCGTTGGCGGGCATTTCGCGGATGTCGATCTCGTACTGCAGAGCGACTTGGACGGCGTAGCGGGCCAGAGTCACACCGCAGATGGTGGCCTGCTCGGGGTTGACACCGGCGATACCGGCGATCAGGAAGTAGGTGTTGGTCAGGTCGAAGGTGGGGTTGAAGATGATGGAAGAGACGGTCACGGCCGCGTTGATCTCGGCTTCACCGGTGACCAGCTGGCAGATGTTGTGGTCGGCCGTGCAGTGCACGTCCGGGAAGAGGGGAGAAGCTCCCGGGATGGTGATGTTGTGCTCCAGCACGTTGAACTCGGGGATACCCCACCAAATGGCGGCTTCGGGTTCGAACTGGGTGGTTTGTTAGTATATGGCAGCATTCATGGTGGGGTTAGGTTAGGGTGATAGATGAGGGTGGGCTACCATGGACACAATGAAGACCTTGGGAGCGATCTTGTCGGTGGACTGGCGCGCGGCGATGTTCTTGGCCGCGGGGACGGAGCGAGCCGCAGCAAGGGAGGACAGGCAGCTGCTGGCGAGCAGCAGGCCCGTGGAAACGGATTGAAGGAGCTGCATGGTGTGTGCGATGGTGATTGAGTGCACTTTTTTTGGCTGCAATGGCTGGATGGTGAAAGCGATGTTGGGGACACCAGCTTTATAGCTTGCGATTGAGGTCTTTCTGTTGTGGCTATCAACGGCGTAGCTATCGGGATTTGGCCATTGGGTGGTTTTAGTCGACCCACCGTCGCGTGCTAAATGCCCACATTGTTGAAAAACTCTGCCAGGGAGACGGGCTGATTAGGAAGGATTTGCATTGAGAGCGGAGAGGGTAGCATTGGTGCCTGCCTGAAAGCCAATGATCGGCAATCCATTCCGTACGAACCGAGCCGGTTGCTGCGGTGCATTTAGTTGGGGTTACTTACTTAGTGCTGTTCTCCACCCAGCTGAAGAATGGGACGCGATTGAGTAGCTGAGGTTGCCGCGGGCGTTTTCCATTTTTCTTCTAGCTGTCAATGGATACAGAGATCATCGGTAGACTAAGGTACGGCATACAGTTCCTGTTCCTGAATGTTGTTCCCACAATAAGAAGAGGATATTCTCCGTGGCACCACGGGACGGAGCCAAGAACTAACGCAGGAACAAAACAACAACCAAAAGGCAAAACATGGAAAAGATAGCAAAAAGATAAGCGGGGAGCCGGCCGATAACCATCGCACCACCAATATCGCGCAATTAATTAACTTAGATTGCCTTATCGCTCACCGGCCTATCAACGGCGCCACTAGTGCCGGAGTGGAGGGATTCCACCGGATTTCTCCTCTCCATCATGCTTCCCGATGCTTCCATTGCTGCACCTAGGCAATTGATCCAAATCCCTGTGCAGATATGGTGACATCGTGCGTGTCCTCAGCCGTAGCTGAGTTTATATAGTATATAAGAAGCTGAGATTCAAATCCCGATGAATAGAATTGCATGGTGTTCAGGGCTGTAATGGGGAGGAAGATGAGGGCACGAAGGAGGGCACGTGCGGGGCTGCGCCCAGCTGAAGAACTTTCCGATCACCACCACGGCACTCTCCACCTCGTTGCAGTCAGACCCCGTAGGGCGTACTGATTAGATGGATGAGTTACTAATGAGGAAGAGATTATAGCCGGGTGTGAAACTACAATATTCGTATGTTATCTTATTCCTTGGCGGTAGTAGTAGTACCCTCGCGGAGATCTCCTATCATATACTTACTACTTCAGTTAGTAACTGTACTGTCCAAAATATATATATTTACGGATGCCCCAATTACTAGTACTAACTAGCAGCACTAGCAATGCCGATACTACTAGAACATCAATCCAGGCCAGCCAGATAGTACTAGTTGTATTCAGCTCCTTATCCAGTACACGCATCCATTGCAAAGGAACCGTATTAGTACTCGGTCGTCTACATCTAGTTGAACATTCGTTCAATTCTATCCAAATCAACTGCTTGGAGCCACACAATGGTAATCACCATTCCGACAAAACATCATGAATGTCACTTGTAACCTGTACAACCACTACATCGACATCGTAGAATAGTACTATGTTGGGAAACGAAATGCCAGTGCTCTACGTTCAGAATGGCATCCCGCATTGGTAATTCCTTGTTGCTGCGGCCATTAACATCTCGCTCCTTCCTGGTCGCAATATCACGTCCGCGGACTCTTTCCTACTACATTCCCCGCTCAGACTCTCATGGGAGGCTTTCCATACCTGAATATAGCTGAATCGCTGGGCAAAGACATCAAGCATCTTCGATGATAAATAAAGAACAGTCATATCCCTTGACATGACAGTCAAACCATGTACGTAGTACCCCAACTGCAAGAAGAATGTCAGTCTCCAGGGCCTACTAAAGAATACTTACATCGGATTCGTCGGCCTTGGGGATTTTCTGGGCTTCATTGATCCAATCATCACCAATACACCCCACGGCTTCCCTAGACGAGGCTTCTCATTGGTCAGCTCTCATTCCATTCCTTTCCTATCATGCCACTCGGGTGAATATTCCGAACATGTGCTGACCACCACCCAATGGAATAAGCAATCCAGCCGAGCATTCTGGAATCCAACTGTCAGCCAGTTGGCGTCTGTCACAAAGCCTACGGAGTGTTGGTATATTATCACGTGATCTAAACACGCCGACCATCCGCGGACTCGAGCAAGAATGCATCATCCCCTGCCAAGTTGCGACCGTGATGCCATTTTGGTAACTATCAGGGTCCAATCATCTGATCCCTCAATTCGACAGAGATGGTTCCACCGGAAGCTCACGGATTCTAGAAGACGGAGGATCTTCTAGGGATCCCACCGATCGCTGCGAGTTTATTGAAGTTAAAGCTGGCCCCAAACTCAGTTTTCGAAACTGACTCGCCGGGATCGCTCCACATGGCAAGGGTATGATGAGTGCTGTCTTAGACAATTTCAGTCGAGTGGAGGTTATTCCTGACCGGACCCCATCCCCCTTCCTCCATACATGTCCGACGCGAAGCCACGCTGACGTGGACAGCAGGGGATCTCACATTGCGCGGTCAGATCTCCGACGATCTCCTCCACCAACAACGGCCTTGGTGGAGATGCTGCACTGCTGCTACAAATACATTGGCCTCCCTTGCCGTGGCTGCCTTGGCCGATCCAAAGCAATGTCAGATGCTTGGCGGCAGCAGACCTCAACGGCCTCGTACGACCTCGGAGCGGAGTGGCAGGTCACGGGTTGATCCATGGAGCAGCTGGGATGCTGTCGGGCTGCCGAGAGACGGTCGGAACGTTATTGAGCGATGGTGTTCCCGGGTGTGGGAGAGGATGCGATGGTCATCAGGCAGAGCCGCAAGTGGCCTCTCATTCGGACAAATTCATTCATCCCTGGCCAGCTCAAAGACACAAGCGGTTATATACCCCAGCTGAGGCGTGTCACCATGTGAGCTGACAGGAAATCTGCGTAACGGGTCAACGTCAGCTTTGACGACTTCGTCACACCGACCGTTCTTGTCCGTGAGAGGATGGCATGTAAGAGCCGCTCCATGCGATCACATTCTGCCACTGAAGATTACGCTGGACGCGAGGCCCGACTGCAGTATCTCCGCAAGTGGACAAAGGATCCTCTCTAAATGGGAAATGCAGCGATGGGCAGCAGCTGCACTGGAGGAGTCAGATGCAGCAGAGAAAGCCGCGTCATCGTCAGCTGCGAGATGCTCGCGTGCGCCTGCCGATCGCGGGAAATGAGTCCGCATCTGCTGTGTCGATGCTCTTATTCCTAAAGAGAATGATCAGGCCAGACGTAGCATGAAGCATTGGGGGGAAAGCTAAGAAGAGAGTCAACTGGCCGATGTCATCGGGAAACGACGTCATCCACGTGGGGTTGGGCCGTGACGTCACCCTCCCGTCTCCCTCCAACTTGTTGGTTGTTATACTCTTTCCTTTTTATCTTTCTATCTTCCCCTTTCTTCTGCTGGCATTGCATCGCATCGCGTCACATCCTGGACCCCGCATCGCAAATCTGTTCTGCCACCCGTTAGGATACCCCTTAGACGAAATACCCCCGACCGGCTCGCTCAGGTGAGCTTACATGACAACCGCTATCAGCTAGATATCCATAACTAATCCCTCAGTAGCCACCCACGAAAGTCTAATCAGGAACCACAAAGTCAGATCCAAAGAAACAACACCAACTCAGCTCGGAAATCACCGAAAATGGTCGGCTCCATCCACGAACGCATTCGCGAAGACCTTATCGGCAAGGAGCGTCGTCTCTGGACGGCGCTCACCTCGGCTGACCCGGGGCCCGAAATCAAGAAGATGTGTAACGAAGAGGCCAACCTACTTTTTCCGCAGCGCGAGGTTCTGCACCTGCATTCGAAGCCGTCAATCAGCGAGGCACTGAAGCCACCCTTCCATCACTTCGACGAGTACGAACTGCAGGAGGTGCGCGTGATCGTCATCGACTTGATGGCCGGGTCAGTAACGTACAAGATCAATGCGCGCCGCGGAGAAGAGACGTACCGGGGCACCGGGTCGACGACATGGAGCCAGGGGAGTGATGGAGAGTGGCGGATTGTGGTGCATCAGGAGACATTAATGTGATGAGATGAGATTCATTGAGATTCAGATGTAGGGGGGCGATATGAGAAGTGGCAGTGACAGTAGGGGATGGATGGAATGGACGAATCATGATTTGTTTTGATGCAGTCTGCTGATGAATATTCTTTTTCTTGTTACATTAATTTATTTCTTTTTTTTTTCGTTGGACCCTGCTTTTCCATTCAGGGGTTGAATATCCCTTTGTATCGATTGTGATTGCGTGGATGTGTGAATGTGGCTGGCTGACATCAGACGGACAACGGAGTTTGAATCAGACAAGACTCTGACATTAATGTCCACGCAGATCATCATCATCCATCGAACAATAGCATAACACAACATAACATAGTTCCCATTTTCATATGATAGTATTCCACCCCCCCGTCACCCAAAGAAAAGCAAACACAACACAACATAAGACAACTCAACAAAAGAAAAAAGAACCAAAAGAAAAGAGTAAGAAAAAAGAAGATCGACAAAGTTCACAGCCATAAGGCTACCCAACCCACCCCAGTGGGACCAATAGTAACTGCATCATTATTGGCCCTAGTTTCATCGCGGTAACAGCAGAGTGGAGCTTAGCAGCATGTTTTCTTCTGTAGGGCGAGGGTGGCAGTGTGCAGATTGCAGCTGAGCACGCACCAATTTTTTTGCACTGCACGGCGACTCCGTGTTCATGCATGCAGTAGCTAGCTAGCTAGCTAGTCAGTTAGTTAATTTTTCTTTTGCTTTCTTCTTCTTCTACTTGCTTACTACTACCCTACCTGACTACTGGAATAAGATACCTAGCAGAGACCACTTACTATCTTGGGTAATGATCTGTCGATCAGGGTGTAGTTTCTTTCTGTCAGGGTCTAGAACTTTGTGCTGCTTTGCTCACTGAGAATACACATTGTTAGATTTATTATTAAGGTTTGCAGAGTGAAACAAACCACGTACCAAACGCTACTTAAGATCTGATCTGACGTGAGGAGTAACTAAGCATAAGGCAACCAAATTATATAATGTTATATTATATTCTTAATTTCATTATGATTGATTAGGTCAAATGGAGTACAGTAAGAAAGTAGCGAGTTACTCTAATCGGTCAAGAACATATTACCTGTCAAGTAAGTGAAAATCTAACCACTCAATTTCCATTTCCCTTCTTGGTAATGTAGTATATAATAGTATATGTACCACGCAAGCTGCGATATGTATAGTAGGAAATAGATATCGGTTTTCCCCACTTTGGAAAATTCAATAAACAACACAGCCCCCTTTCTTTCTTCCTTCCTTTCTTTCCTTGCACTTTGATCCCGAAAATAATTTCCATCCCATCCCATCCAATGTAAATCCAACAACAACTCTTTCTCTCTCTCACAAAATTAGATACCAGAAGGGAAATCGAACAAAATCAGAGATAATAAACGAACAAAACAAGGGAATTTGTAAAGAATCACAAAAAGAAATAAAAAAGAAAAAGAAAAATTAAACACCATTAGCAAACCCATCACCACCAGCCTCAGTATCAACCCTCACCGAATCCATCAACCCACAAACCTCGAACAACTTCTTCGGCCCCATGCCCTCGGGCAACCCAACGACACCATCCTTCTTCAGCCTCTCCAGAGCAGCCGTAATGCCCATATACGCCGGGGTAATGCAAGCGAACGAGAAGATCATGATACGGAAGCCCATCTCCTTAGCCTCATCAACGGAAATAACCGGCCCAGCCCCGTTCTCCACCATGTTAAGCAGAAGCGGCCAAGGCGCAAGGTCCTGCACACACCGCCTCGCCATCTCCTTACTGGTGAAGCCCTCAAGGAGACCAACATCGGCGCCAAGATCGCGGGCGGCCTTAAGGCGACGAATGCACTCGTCGTAGCCGTGCTGCTGGAGGGCGTCAGTGCGGGCAATCAGCACGATGTCGCTGCGGAGGCGGTCCTTGGTGAGCTTGGCGGCGCGGAGGCGAGTCAGGTATTCCTCCATGCTGACGACGCGCTTGCCTGCCAAGTGACCGCATCGCTTGTTTTGGATCTGGTCTTCGATGTGGAATCCCGCAACGCCGGCTTGAATGTATTGTTGAACGGAACGAGCGACCATTAGGGGGCCTATATTGTTTTTGTTTTTGATGGTTAGTGGGGAAACTGGGTCTTATATTGCCGTTTTGCTTTTGGGAGCGGGTAGATCATTAAGTCTTGGCGGAGGGTGGAGATAGGATGCAAGTTGTAGGGGATTATGGGGATTTTTTTTTTTTGCTCACCTCCGTAGCCAGTGTCCATGTCAGCGATCAGGGGAGGACCGTAGGGGTCCAGGTTCGCGATCATCTCTGCGTTGGTCTTCATGTCGTAGATGTGGGCTAGACCCAGATCGGCCATGCCCAGTCTAGATGCGGTAGTGCCGGCGCCGGTCTAAAAAGCCCTTCCGTTAGTATGATCTTTGTTTGTCGGAAGCGGACAAGTGTGTGTTGTGTGATTGTGGGGAAGTAGTAGTAGGAGTTAGGATGGACTTACCATGTACATGCCCTTGAAGCCCATGTTGATGGCAATGCGAGCGGACAGACCGTCGTAGACACCAGGGCACACGATCAACTCATCAGACTCGCGAAGCTGCTTGCGCAGCTTGCTAGCACCAGTGACCATGTTCAAGTTGACCACGGGCTCTTGACGGGCACCGTTGATCTCATAGATACCGTCCTGCTCAACGGTGATGGTGATAGTGTTGGTCATGCTGATGGTGGAAGCAGAATCGGGGGTATCAACTTTCATTGCGAGGGGAAAAAACCACAAGGTATATATAGGTGGAAACAAGGAGAGTTTTTATCCCTTGGAAAGTGGAGAGTTGAAGATAGGAGAGAAAAGAGGCTTGATGAGGATAGAGAGAAACCAAAGGAAGAGCCAGAAGGTGACCAGTTTATATAGACGTGTCGGGAGAAGATCATCCCGCCAGCAACCAATATTCATTACCTGAGAAGATCATTTTGAGAATTGTTTTTTTCCCAATACTTCTTTTCTTTCTGTCTGCAACATTCCCCTCCTGGTGGATTGCAACGCAAGCCCTTGGCCGAGAATCATCGTCAATCCACACAAACGCACGTACACCCTACTCCGGTGAACGAACCATTGCCATTCAATTTTCTTGGCCACCATCCCAGCGCCGAGAAAAGAAAATAAAATGGTCAATCGACGCCATCGGCGGACTATGATTTGTGCCTGTGACAAGTCGAAAAATGTCCGAATGCAATGCAGCAGGGGCCTAGATAAGCTCCCCCCCTCTTTTTCTTTTTTATTATTTTAAAATTATTATTGTTATATTATTCGCATTTTTGTTTTGCCGGCCCCCTCTTCCCCGTACATCGGCTAATGACCAGTAAATCGCCAAATCTAGTAAAAGATGGGGCTGGCTGGACCGCCACCGCGAGGGGAGTTAAGAGACATACTCCGCGCGTAGTTTCAGATTACGCGCGCCGGTGATGGCAGGATTGATTGACTAGGTGCTTTCCTGATTTGGTCAGGTCAGGGGAGAATGAAGGAGGGGGAGTTGAGTGTAAGATGAAGTCAGACAGATTTGGCCCGTACTTTAGGCCACGCCGACAGTGCATGGACAAGACGCATCGATTCCAATCGATGCGGTGGCACACGAGCACGAGTTCCTCGGTAGCCGCGGGCTCCAGTATACTGCAGTTGCTGCATGTCAGACGCTTTTGCTCATCACGCACGGGGCCCGTTGTTCTTCACCCAGCTGAAAAAAGACAGTAGCCTAGCCAAGTCGCACTGGCAGAGGAGGGATGGAGGGGAGGGGAGAGTAAGTTTGGTGGCCAACTGAAAGCCAGCGAGCAATCAACCTCCGGAGTTCGCCAGCTGGGCGAGAAATGGGATGGATCGGGCGTGATTGGCGCTTGGCCGAGGAGGCAGATCTGCACCGATAGACTGCCAGGGCTCGGCTGATGCGCCGGAAGTTAAACGGCATCCCACCCACGGAGTCACTGTTGGGGCTTGCCGGCGGCAGGGCGGGTTCTAGCACGCCTGCTGAATGGCGGAGAAACCGGAGCGCATTGGCTCCCGGGACTTATCGTGGATGAGGTGAGAGGGGGTGATGGAGGTTAGTGATGATGAGATAGGCAATAGTGCATGGCTGACCAGCCGACGGAGAAGCCGATGGAGAAACCAAGGAGCCAGATGGACCAGATGGACCAGGGTAGCAGCTGCAGTGCGGACTCTCATCGCCGACATTAAGTGCGTCTCTGTTGCTGCATGCTGCAGAGCCAAGTATCTTGGCAACCTGGGGGGAACAGAAAATTAATACTGGAGGCGATAGTCTCGAGTCCAGCCCCGGTTTTGCTGGGGACTGAGTGATGGATCTGGCAGCGCGGTTGGCTCTTGCACACGTCTAGTGATTTTTTAGGTAGTGGATGTATTCTTTTTTCCTTCCTTGGTCTTGAGAGGGTCATGGTCACTCCGCATGTTGCCTAGAAATGTGCTCATAGCCTAGAATGTATTTACTCTCCGGCCAGTGCGGTGATTAGGACCCCCGGTGTGTAACCCATGAGTACCGAAGAGGAAAGGGAAGAGGAGAGCTGAGGAGCATTTCGGACCCGGCTGGGTGGTGCCGCATGGTGAAACTTGACGACGCGGGTCCGACACAGCAAGCAGTCCGACAAGTCCCCTGCCTAGCAGATCGGATGCAGTGAGGAAAAATAAACCGCCACGACTATTGGAGCTGCAGATTGGAAGAGGATTAATCGATAGATAGGTAGGATCGGACTAAACCGGGAGGAGTATAGGGGGAGTGGGAGGAGGGTAAGAAGAACAAGGGTAAGGGAGACAGAGAGAGTGTTGAGTGAGTGAGTGTCTGTGTGGTGAGGCGCAAGTCAGCCGATTGGCGGAGAGGAGATCCAGTTTGGGAGGTTCAAGGGTAGTAAGCAGTCTGATTAGTTACTTAGATTGGGTGAATAATGACGAGAGAGAGAGAGGGGGGGTAGACTGGACGACCAGCATAGTCCGAGAGGGAAAAGAAAAGACAGGCAATGATAGTCGTGGCTGACTTGGCTAGAGACTCCAGAGACGGCGGATAGAGAGGCTAGCTCGTCACTTCGATAGCACTAGAGTTCTCGGTCCAGTTGTTAGTTGAGTTAGGTCGAGTCTAGTGCTGTAGGGAATCAGCCCAAGCCCGACAGCGGCTCCGGATTTGCCCGGCTTGGCCCCTCTGGGCGATCGGTAGAAATTTGGGGGGTTTTTTAGGAGAAAGGGATAGCGGCCTGGTCTTGGAATCTTGGAACGAAAAAGAAAAAAAGGTTTGTGAAGGTTTTGCTCTGAGGGTCTGCGGCCCACGCGGGCCCACGGTTGCGGTTGTCTTAAAGCTGGCGAGCTCTTCAATTTCCACGCGTCTGTCAGCCTGCCTTTTCCCGCTTCTTTCCTGCTCCGAGCGTGCTGATTGAGAGACTGACAGACAGTGTAAGAAAGACAGAAAGAGACTTTCATATTTCTTTTTCTGCTGCTGCTGCTGCTGCTGTCGTTTCTGCATCTCTGCTTGGACCCTGTCTTGCTCTGTTTCTTACCCTCCAACCCACCAGTGCAGCAGCCTGATTTTCAGCCATTGAAACCATGGAGGACAGTAAAGGTGCTAGCCCGATGGTTAGCTATGTTAGGGCTGAGATCAATGTCAAATATGCGGATTTGTTGTTGCTGGCCTGTTGTTTCTGTTCGGGTTTGCTGGACAGCACCATGTACAATGGTGAGTCACTCTCTTTCTCTCTCTCTCCCCACTCTCTTTATCCCTTTCCTCCACACCTTTCTTGTCTTCACCCCATCAATCTCCATAAATCCCCATAATATTATAATAATGGAACCATACTTACACTCTCCCCCACAGCCTACAATACTTTCGTTTCTATGCAAACAGGAAACACCATTTTCGTGGGGTTGGGTGCCTCCCAGCAGGATAGCCGACCGTACGACTGGGCGCGATCCTTGACGGCCATCGGCTGTTATGCGATCGGCAGCTTCATCTTCTCCCGCATCAACAACTTCCTCGGCCCCAAACGGCGCGGCACTCTGGTCGCCTGTTTTCTGCTGCAGGTCGTACTCGTCATCATCGCTGCGGCTCTCTCTCAGAGCCATGTCATCGCCGGTGACCTAGCCGACGCCCACTCTACCACGTTCGTCACCCACTGGAGCCAAGAGGCCGTCATCGTCCTGCTCAGTATGCAGTCCGCGGGCCAGACCGTCGCCAGTCGTGTGTTGGGCTACAACGAGGTGCCGACCGTGGTGATCACCAGTCTGCTCTGTGATCTGATGATGGATCCCAAGCTATTCCTGTTGCGCAATGAGAAGCGCGACCGTCGTGTCATCGCCTTCATCCTGACTCTGGTTGGTGCCATCGCCGGTGGATGGATCAGCAAAGCCACGGGCAACATCTGGGCAGCCCTGTGGATTATCGCCGGTCTCAAGTTCTTCATGGCCGTTGCTTTGTCCTTCTGGCACGTCAAATAAGTTAATAGATAGCTCTTCTTTTTCTTCTTCTTTTTCCGCCTCTTGACATTTTCACTTCTTGTTCTGCTTCGTTAGCCATCACTTCAAATTAGACCGTTCTGCTTTCGCTTCCATTCTGCCACACCCATACATTCATCGGGGCCAAATTATCCGGCACCCACGAAGTCCGAAAATATCTCTCCAAGACCACCTCCTCGTAGCTTTGATCATCCACACAATAATCCCCGCCAGAAGGGCCGATATGCGCACAATGCACATCCGGATTTAACCTGACCATATTATCATGCACCTCCCGACACAGCAACGTATTCCTTCCCATCTCGTATGGCTGCCCAAAGCGAATCTTCTGCGTCAGAAACACATAGCAGTCCTGCATAGACGCATACTGCCGATTCCTACCTAGACAATACTCCTCTTCGGTGTGACAGATTGCCCGGGCGAATAGATCCGCCACTTTTTCGCGAATTTCTGTTTCGTTAGTCGTGTGGAACTTACGCCCCGCGGCTTGGAGAATCTTCACGAATAGCCATTCCAGCCATCTGAAGACAGCGTCGTACTGGGTGATTTGTCCAGCCGAATTGAATTCGAACCAGGCGGTGATTACCCCCGGCATGACCAGGTCGAAGGTGCTGATGTTGAAGGTGAGGACGACGGTGGAGGCGACGGTGTTTTGCGTCGCTGCGAATTGGGTGATGTTGTAGGCAATGGGAACGCCGAAAATGCTGGGGTGAGTGAATTGAGAGAAAAGACCGAAGATATATTCGTTGTTGAGGTCGCGGTTGGTGAAGGTGCGGGTGACGTCGACGCGGCCTTGGACCTGTAGTTACTTAGGATGCTTATGGAAGGGGATGTGAGGGTATAGAATGTAAGGAACTAGTAGGTACATTGTTGGAGAAGATAGAGGTGTCGTTGGGGTTGATATGGGCGGTGTTGGCTGGGTAGAGGAAGTTGTCCCAGAAGTGGGTGGTGAGTGTCCAGAGTTGGTCGACGGTGTAGCTGGTGGTGAGGGGGATGAGGGTGAGGAGCTGTAGGAGTACTAGGTAGTAGTACATGATGGTGACTTCGATTGGATATAGTCTAACTTTATAGACAATGTCATTTCAGCTACTAGAGGTACTCCTGCAGAAATCGTAGCAGCCTGTCATGGTGGCAGTGTAATAGGCATCAAGCAGAACTATATATATCGGACGGTACATGGTACCCATTCTTCATGCAGCATCTAGGCACCAAGATAGATCCCTGTCTCTGCAGCAGTAGCTACAGCAAGTTTATTATTCTCATTGTCGGACGAAACATGTTACATGGCGCTCAAAAGATGGGAAGGACAGACGGATGGTCACCATGTGCAAGATCCAAGCCATGGCTGATATGTCTGCACGGGGAGTCAGGCTGATGGAAGCTGGTTCACGAGCTGACCCACCAATAATGGCCTGCAATACGAGTCATCCTGCGACACCCCCCATTTCGGCAGTGATAAGCCTTATAGGGTAAGCTACTGCGTGGGTGCCACCGTATCAGCCAACAGACTTCACCACTTCTCTGTGATTCCGCGGCAGTCGGACCCTTCTCTTACCAAACAAAATGACTACAGAAGCACTATCATTCCGATCAACCTGTCACTTGCCCTTCTTGTAAATTCCCCGCATCACGTCTCGGAATAGTTCCGGGGGACGGAACTCTCCGGAATTCAATTCGGGGGTATACTTATAGTTAGTCACAGCTGCATACGTTGCTTTTTCCCCGACAGAGCTATACAAAAAGCAAATCAAAATACAAAATGGCTACTGTCACCCTTACTGGCGCCAAAGGCCGCCAAATTCAAGGTACTATACTCTCCCACCCCACCTTGTCTAGAACCCTCTCTCCTAACAGCACAGTCCCGACCACCCTCTTCATCAACAATGAATTTACCCCGGCCTCCACCAACGAGACCCTGACCATCGAGAACCCCTCCACCGGCACCCCACTCGCAACCGTCTCCTCCGCCAGCCCAGCGGACATTGACCGCGCCGTGCATTGCGCCACACAAGCCCTCCCCGCATGGAAAGCCACTCCGGGCGCCCTCCGCGGCGCCCTCCTGCACAAACTCGCCGATCTGATCGAGCGTGACGCGGAGGACTTCGCATCCCTTGAAGCTTTGGAAGGCGGGATGCTCTACACGGACAGCAAGGCCATGACCATGCCCCAAGCCATTTCCACCCTCCGCTACTATGCCGGCTGGGCCGACAAGATCGACGGCAAGACGCTGCATCTCCCTGACGGCGGAGTGGGGTATACTTTCCGCGAGCCACTAGGAGTTTGTGCCGCCATTGTTCCCTGGAATGCGCCTCTGTATGCTCCCTCCCCGATACTATAACCCACCAATCAACTAACACCGTACTTCCACAGAATGATCACAATCTGGAAACTCGCCCCGGCCCTAACAGTGGGAAACTGCCTCATCATCAAACCCTCCGAACTAACCCCCCTGTCTGCCCTAAAACTCGCCCTCCTTATCCGCGAAGCAGGCTTCCCCGCCGGCACAGTATCTATCCTCCCCGGCGACGGCGCCAAAGCCGGTAACGCTCTCTCCACGCACCCAGCTATCCGCAAACTCTCCTTCACGGGATCCACTGTCGCCGGGCGCGCCATCCTGCACGCCTCGGCATCCAGCAACCTCAAGAAAATTTCCCTCGAGCTTGGCGGCAAGGGCCCCTCAATTGTATTCTCAGACTGCGACCTAGCTAACGCGCTGTTGTGGACGCGTATCGGCATCACAGCGAATAACGGACAGATCTGTGCGGCGGGATCGAGGATCTATGTTCAGCGGGGGATCTACGAGAAGTTCCTGGAGGAATACGCGCGGCTATCTAAAGAGGACAAGCCCGTGATCGGGGATGCATTGGATGAGAAGACGACGAAGGGGCCAGTGTCCAGTGCGGCGCAGTTGCAGAAGATCTTGGGGTATGTGGAGGAGGGGAAGAAGAGAGGAGTGAGGGTGTTGTTCGGGGGAGAGAGGATTGGGGAGAAGGGGTATTTCGTCCAGAATACGGCGTTTGCGGATGTGGGGCAGGGGGAGAGGATGATGAGGGAGGAGATTTTCGGACCAGTTGCTGTATGTTTCCCCCCTGCTTTGCTTTCCTTTTGTGGTGATTGAGGTGAATGTGTGCTAACGAGGATAGTGCATCGCCCCCTTCGACACAGAAGAAGAGGCCATCAAGTTGGCCAACGACACCGCGCACGGACTCAGCGCCGCCGTCTTCACTAACGATGTGAACCGCGCTCATCGCGTCACTGCCGGTATCGAGTCCGGACAGGTCACTGTGAACGCATGGGCGATGCTAGCGTCGAATATGCCGTTCGGAGGAGTGAAAGAGAGTGGATTTGGGCGTGACATGGGAGAAGAGGCATTGGAGGGATGGACGACAGTCAAGGCGGTTAAGTATAACATTCTGCCCCCCGCGGCGGCTAAGCTGTAACTTACATAGTGTGGTGTGCTTACATTCATGATTAAGACAATAATATATATAAGAGAAAGGGTTAATGCAAATAAAAAGGATCATTCGAGTACCGCTCATACAGCTCCGGATACCATTTCTTCCCAACGTCAGGGTGACTGATGATTCGATTGCGGAGGTAGGCTTCGCCGAACTATACCCAACATGAACGTTAATAGATGCCTTTACATATCAATATCGTAGCACGGATGATGGAGGGGGAACATACACAATCGAACCTGTCCGAAAGAAACTCACTCGGCACGTCCTCGGCCCTTCTCTTCATCTCATCCTCATCGGACCACTCCCCGACAGGAACCTTCTCAACAATATGTCTCGCCGAATCACGCAGATTCGACAACGTCAAGTCCATCCGTATCCCCATGAAAAACGGGATACTGTATCGCGTTGTGTTTTTCGGTGCCTGTACCCATCAACATCCTTCCTTCAGCTGGAGTACATAAGGACATAAGGGGGAAGAGAATGAGACATACAACAACCCTATGCACCGTCGCACTACAAACACCCCCCGTGATAGCCTCAAACCCCTGCTGAATATTCACCACTAGTGCCCCCTCATCCTGAAGCGGGGGGACATCGATCCAGTCACCGCGTTTATTAATGACTTGTAATCCACCAGTCGCATCTTGGGATAGGAAGGTGAATAAACCAGTGGAGTCTTTATGTGGCCCTACGCCTTGGGATTTGTCTTCCCCAGAGGAGGGTTGAGGCGGGTATTTGATGAACTTGAGTCTGTCCATGGTGCCTCTGTACGTGTCGAACGTGGTCGGCGGAAGAGAGAGGGATTCGGCGACGTATTGGAGAAAGGTGTTGCTTAATGGGATGAAAGAAGTCATGTATTCTTCTACGAGGGATTGCGTGGCTGGTGTAGGGTATTGGTTTTGGCCTTCGAGACGGGACCAGATTGGTGCTGTTTGAGGGTTGGAAGGGGGGAGGTTGGGGGTGCCGAAGTCGAATTGCTAGTTGGGTAGTGGTTTGTTAGGGTATGTGTTGTGAGTAGGATGGCGACAAAGGGGAAAGGGGGAATACTTCTCGCATATCGGTTTTGAGTGCGGTGGTTTCGGCCCCGAGACGCGTGTAGCCTAGGAAGGAGGGCGAGTTGATCATGTTGACTTGCTCTTTGGTTTCGGATGAGAGGGAGAAGAGGTCTAGAAGGGTAGCGTGGGCGCGTTTGGTGAGGGACTGTGGTGGTTGTTCTTTTAGTATGTTGTACGTTGTCGAATATGGGGACTGGTGGTGGTTGGCTGCGACTTACTTCCAATCCATGGTTCGTGAGATACAGGAAGCCTACGAGGAAGATGGCGTCGCGGAGCTGGGCGAGAGTCTCTGCTTTGGTTTCTGGGTCTTTGAGACGCTGGAAGTCGATGATGGGAACGGAGGTGAGGTCGGTCATTGTGATGGTGATGGTGTCGGCGAGGTTGGTGATGAAGTGGTGAGGGGAAGTGAGGGGAAATGGACGGATGTCATTGTTGGTGCTGAGTAATAAGGTGATGGTTTAGTTACTGCCGATGCAGATGGCGTGATCTGGCTATACCACAGAGAATGTGAAGAGGATGAAGACAGATGATGCTGATGATGCTGTTAGTTTTCGTTTTCTCATTTTCTTCTAAAGGGGAAAATCTGGATTGACTTTGCAAGTGAGTTGGATTGTATGGAAAACTGTTTATTGGTCAAGATGGCTTACAGCTCATAGCTAACAGAGGTAGTAGCTACTCACCAGGAAAGCTGGAAGAAAGCTAAAGAGAAAGAAGATAGTTGAAGAGACGGCATCGATCTCAGTACTCCGGCTTAATCTCGGTAATGCCCTCATGCTGACACTACTATTCTAGCGGTGTGCCCTCCACGCCCACAATCTATCAGAAGCACTACTATACTTTGCCACTTATGATGCTATGCGAAATGACCGCATCGCATATATTACGTCCAGACTAGAGGTGGAAGAATTCAGCAAGCGTCTTCAAACCGCCGTGATATCAAGTACCGAAAGAGACTAGGTCATAAGCCTGCATACCTTCGTCGCCTCCGGCATTGCCGACGAACTGTCAACTAATTAAGACGACCTCCAATCGACACACCTAGACCATGCACATGATATATTAGCTGCTTCACATATTTGCCATAGGTGGAGAATCAGAGTCACTCAAGAACAGCCAAGAACTGAGCTCTCCTGCCATCAATTATCTGAAGACGGCGCTTAAATCGTAGCCAAACGGGCAGCAAAGGAACGGATGAAACGGAGCCATCCGAAGGTGGAAGTGGACGCGCTCCATTGCCGAGAACGACCGGTGCTTGGCCTTCTTGTTTCTGCTGAACCGTGGCTTGATGTCCCCGGGGTTGGCAGATTATTGTTGAACGTGGTCATGATCCGCGGAAGCAGTATCCTCTAAGCCGCGTCAAAAGACACTTTAGCAGGGCTTGAATCTATTATTCAATCCATGGGAAGGTACAATTCTGACGTTTACGATGATAGTAGCTTTGCTGCGTTAAAGGAGCTTGATCAATGCTGAACATATGACCGGCACTCCACGGAGCCGTGCCACTGTGGAGGATAACCCCTGATTGATTAATCTTGCCAAGCTATTCTGCTCTTTCGGCTCCCACAAAATGACTCGTACACCATTCAGAATCTTCCGGGGCCATGTCCAGACGCGCCAAGCATCGCAGCCGGTGTTCCTGAGCGGACACTAGTCGTGAATGGCACGGACAGTTCCACCGCACAGCCACGATGGACCCAGACTTTAGCTCTCTTGGCAACATCGCTGAAACGCCAAGTGCCGTTGGTGGAATTCAGCTCCCAGCATAATATCCACCTCTGGACAACGTCTTTCCTCACGATGCTCCCTCCCTGCCATGCGAGTGGTGCGACCAGCTTCATCCGTACGGGGCTTGACCGGCAGCTTGGCAGTCGCATCCAAAGAACCTGCAGCTTCACCTCGTCACGGTTGCTATGCGGATGAAGTCCACCTATGACTGTATCCAGCCAAGCCCGGAGACAGTCCTGATGCTTGAAGTGATTTCATTCTGTCTTAGAGCTCCTAATGCCGCCGACCCATCAATATAAAAGGAACAGGTAGACTCTGAATGATATCCCAAATCAAGCCTCTCATATCGTCTTTCTTTCTCTCATCCCCAACTATCTTTCCATTCTTTCTCTCTCCTAATCACAATGACCAACTTCAAGTGGATTGTTGCCGCTGCCGGCCTCCTGTCTGGACAGGTCCTGGCTGCCCCTACTGCCACTTCTACCCATGCCAAGCGCGCAACCGTCAGCGACGTGAGTACCCTCATTTGAAAAATGTCACAGAATTTAACCTTTGCAGGCTGCGTTCGGCTATGCTAGCATGAACGGCGGCACCACCGGTGGTGCCGGCGGTACTACCACTACCGTCTCGTCCTACGCTGCCTTTACCTCCGCTGTCTCTGGCGATGACGCCAAGGTCGTCTACGTCGACGGCACCATCAAGGAGACTGCCGACCAGGTCAAGATCGGCAGCAACACCTCCATCATTGGCAGGGACGCCAACGCTATCCTTGAGGGCTTCGGAGTGTAAGCACCCCCCGGCAATGAAGAGTTGAACCGAGCTGACATGCAATAGTCTCGTCAAGGAGAAGGAGAACGTTATCATCCGCAACCTCGGTGTCACCAAGGTCCTCGCTGACAACGGCGATGCCATTGGTGTCCGTACGTGACGCCCACCCAATCCACACCACCGTCTGATATACTAACCTAAACAGAGTACTCCAACAACGTCTGGATCGACCACTGCGATGTCTCCTCCGACCGTGACCACGATAAGGACTACTACGACGGTCTGATTGATGTACGCAACCCACAATCACACTAATACCCAAACCATTTCACTAATGAACAACCAGATCACCCACGGATCCGACTACGTCACCGTCTCCAACACCTTCATCCACGACCACTGGAAGGCCTCCCTGGTCGGCCACTCCGACAGCAACGAGGACGAGGACAGCGGCCACCTCACCGTCACCTACGCCAACAACTACTGGTACAACGTCAACTCCCGCGCTCCCTCTTTCCGCTTCGGTACCGGCCACATCTACAACAGCTACTACCTTGACGTGAGCGACGGCATCAACACCCGCGATGGCGCCCAGCTGCTCGTCGAGTCCAACCAGTTCGTCGACTCCAAGAAGGCCCTCTACTCTACCGATGATGGCTACGCCGTCTCCAACGACAACGACTTCGGTGACGCCAAGAGCACTGCTGAGGAGGGCACTCTGACTTCCATGCCTTACGACTACACCCTTCTTGGTTCTGCCAATGTCAAGGCTGCTGTTGTCGGCACTGCCGGTCAGACTCTCACTTTCTAAGCGTGCTGCGACACGTTTGGGATATTAGTGCAGTAGGGTGAGGTTGACTATACCTTTGTCACTCTTTCTTTTATCTTGGTACCTGCCGGACAGCTATTTGGGCCCTAGCTTGTGAAGTACTCTAGGGTCGGTATATAGTTATTGCTCGAATTAAAATTAATTGAGGCAACAATCGTACTTACTGTAAGATGTCTACATAATTCACAACTCGCATAACATATATGCACAGCACAAAGCGAGTGAGTGAGCATATCGGCAAATCCTCGGCCTCGCTCCATTTAGACTGGTACTCCACATTCCACACAACCGGCCAAATCAGACCCACTCGCCCAACCAGCTTAATCCGTAGAGTATTCCTGATTGAGTTTGCGGTAGACACAGACATCACATCTACTCACTGATCGATTGATAGGGCCCGTCCCATCACACAACAACCAACGCTGGCGAGTGGGGGGCCCCGGGCCTCACTCAAATAGTGCCCTGCACACTATGGTATCTTCCCCTGCTACATCCCTACTACTACTATCACGGCAATAAAAGTAAGACTATAGTAAGCTGTGGTGGAGACCGCAATCGGAAACCAGTTTCCTGAAAGCTTGATTTTGCCATCTCCGGAAAACCCATCGATTGGGTAGTGTTGATGCATCAAGGTTGTTTTTCGGGGTGGGTTGGTCTTGCTACCTACATTTGCATGTGCATGTGCAGGTGGTACTAGGGTGGTGGTTGGCTTAAAAAAGACCAAGTTCGAGATTAGTATCCTGATAGGGAACAAGTATCAGACTTTCGCCACAATGATACCAAAGTTTGGTCGACTGATGATGTGATCATGGTGTTGGACAGCAATACATTACTTAAATTAAATGCATATGCATGGACAAGGATGCAGAAACACGATAGATAGCACCGGATAAGTATAGATCCACGACCAGTGAACTCCGATAAAGATAGAGAAGGATATTATTCTATAGGTCAGATCTGAATTATCTCTAATATCCACCATTGCATTCAAAGCTCTAACACATGCATCTATGCTATTGCACCTTCCCCACCCCCCTATCCGCCCTAACCACACACACAACCGGCCAAACCTGCAACACGACCGCCCCAACCATCAAACAACCCGCAAACACCTGCGCACGAACAAAGTCCGCCGTTTCTAAATTCACTAACGCTCCTGCAACGGGCGTGCCCACTAATGACCCGAACGAACTAATCCCCCACATCATGCCCATCCTCGTTCCGAGGAAGTCACTATCGGGACAGAATGCCTTGTGAGCGACGATAGACGTCGGCGCTGTGACTAGCACCCCGCTCACGAACCCCCAGTAACAGGCCCAGACGATGAAACCGGCTGTGTTTGTCGTCGCGATCCAGGTGAACATGGCCACTGCTGCTGCTGCGACGAAGGCGATTAGGATGAAGATTGGTTTGATGTGGGTGCCTCCTGAGGCGAGGAGGTAGGGGACTGTTCGGCCGAAGGCGGAGGCGCCGTTGGTAATAGAGACGAGGTAGAAGGAGAGGCTGGTGGGGGTGTTGAGGGCGGAGCGGGCGTAAGTGGCGATGTAAAAGATGGGAACGTAGTAAGCAAGCATGACACATGTCATAGACAGGGAAAGGAGCATGAAGGGGAGGTGAGTGAGGGCTTTGAGTTCGATGAGGCTTCTGGTGCGCGTTTTCTTGCCTGGTCGACGGCAGAGGATAGCGCAGGTGATGAGGGCGAGGAAGAGGTTGATGAACGCGATGCAGCGGACGCTCCATGCGAAGTTGATGATGGGTTGGACTTGGCGGAAGAGGATGGGGAAGATGACGCTGCCGACACTGGAGCCTATAGAGGCGCAGCCGATAGCGATGGGTCGTTTGGTGGTGAAGTGCGAGGATATGACGACCATCGCGGGGATGTAGGTGATGCCGCCGCCAATGCCGACGCAGAAGCCCTGCGCGAGGAGAACTTGGTAGTAGTCCGTTGCTAGGCTGAGCATCATCATCCCGAACACGACTAGGAAGGATCCGGTGAGGATCAAGGGCCGGAGGTATCCTGCGTCGACTAGAGGGCCGGTCACCATGCCGACCATCACGATCAGGGTGGCTTGGATACTGCCGATCCAGGAGATCGTGGATGGTGATTCGTCCGGGAGGAGAACCGTTTGGTAGAATTCTTGAAATGCGCCATAGCAGCTGATGAGGCCCCTGCTGGAGGTTAGACCTGCTTGGAGATGACTGGTAATAGGGATGTAGGTACGTACCAGGAGTTGACGAAGACGCAGAAGCCCGCGAGTACGCTGAGCCAGCCTTCCAACCCTCCGTCGGGCATTGATTGTCTCTCTGGACTAGCCTCGGCTGGGGGTTGGAGATGTTCGTTATGCTCGTTGATTGATTCGTCTGGGGCGCCTAGCCCCTCATTCTGTGTGCCCATGTCCGTCGTTATCTATATCTATTCTATTCTGTGCATGTAGTCTACAAGGAGGAGATGAGACGTGAAAGGGATACTTGTCAAAAGTCACAAATGACCAAAATTTCGGGCATAAGCTCGGTTAGATGGCAGACTGGTTCCTACCCCAACTTTCGGTTCCCCGCAACGGCAAATGTGGAGTTGGAGACGAGATCCGGGAACCCTTGGCGTCCCAGTACCTGGAGTGGCAAAGCCCTTTGCCGGGGGTCGCCGACAAGTCAGGGTTGACTATATTCTGGCTTATGTACGTCGAATCCCGTGATACTACTCTAATGGTCGTAGTTGCTAACCAGCGGTGGAGATGGATTGAACAACGCGAATTACGTAGACATTGCGAGATTCAAAGATCGAATAATGTCGATACACTAATCGCTCAGCTAAAAACGTCATATCGCATCTAGCCGGCCATGTGAGAGAAATGCGTGTCCCAACAAAGGATATATAGCATGATGACACCAGGAATAATAGCAAATTGTTGCCAGACTGGGTGTACATATCCATCTAGCTATTACAGTCTCAATATTCTGGTCTCAATATTCTGGTCTCAATATGCTGCATACGGAGGCGTGCGTGATCGAACTAACCGAGTTCATCTCAACAAGGTTCGAATCAATCGGTCCGAATCAGGGTGATTCTCCCTTGACGCTATTATGGTGGGTGACTTGAAAGCCCCATTCCTGCATTCATCTTTCAGTGCAAGGTCACAATACAAGATAATTTCTTTTCGCTAAACTCACCTCATTCTCACCCCCATCGCGCCCAGCAATATCCTCCAGGGTCAGGGCTGGTCTCGTACCGATCGCACGCAAACCCCGAGCGCCTTGCTCGACGAGCCAGTCGTACGTGACCAGGAAGCATAAACACTATTCATATGGTTTTCATTATCCTCGTTCATGTCCTCCGCCGCAATACTCATAGTTTCACAGGCCATCATCATGCACTGCAATAGGAAATCATCGTCTTCATCTGTATCAATGCCGCGATTTGTAGGCGAAAGCACGATCGTAATCCCTGCATCTATATATAGCCGGTAGTAAATGCCGGTCGCATTGAGGCAGAATAAAAAGGAATCTGCGACGTCTTGGTGAAGGTCCCCCAGCCCGAGAATCGTGATGTTGGCAGCTGCAGTGAATTGCACAAATGCAGCTATGAGAGATGGCCAGTGATAAAATCGCATGGTTGGCGTCCAATATGGATTGATAGTGGTGCGAAAATAAGTCAGAAACTAGGCCGGTTCTAGTATCCTTCGATGACCTTTACAAAGGTGCCAGCGGGGAATGCAGCCTGCTAAAATCTCTTGACTCGACACATAAAGCAAGCATTCACTGGAAGATAACATAACACAAAGATATGACCATGGGGAGAAATAAATACTCTACAGACTTGCCCGATTGTTGTTCGTTAGGTCTCGAGGCTGGTAGCGATGACCTATTTCGAGAGCGGAGGTTTGCATGGCCCCACCCACAGTTGGTACGAAAACGGGTCAACTGTCATATCCAGATGACTCACTCAAGGTAAGTTCAAGTGGGAGTACACTTACATGAACTACTGGCGTAGAAGCTAAGGAGAGGTCAGTAACGAACCTCTACCGCAAAGGGAGCAACGTCCACTAGTGGGCGAGTCGATGACCGGCAACTCTAGTCAATCCTCATCGCGCTGGGTATGAACTACAATATCTTTCTCGTGCGCAGTCTCCGGGCTTCTCGCCCATTATGCACTAACTCCAACAGGAGCTATCGCCGACCAGCCAGTGTACTAGCTCATAGATAAGGCCATGATGGAGGCTCCTAGTATCCACATCCGCAGTACTTAGAGCCTTAGCAAAGATCGCGACGCGTCATCCGACTAGGCAACATCTGAATACCAGAATGCTTAGCCAGGGCCAGCATATTTTAACATAGTAATTAGTTACATTGAAATGCTATTATGGCAGACTAACCTATAAGTGGCGAGATTACGTTCACGATTGTCGTCATGTTGGAAGACGTGCTATTCGCTTTGTGCCAGGGCCTTCCTATTTTCAATGGCTGTAGACGGTGAAGATATAATAGGGATTACACCTGACAATTTTACTTTCACGATCAGATGGTGAGTTTGCCATTCATTCAAGGGTAGGCTCCATATAGCACCCCTCACATCCACAACCCGGCCATATGATCTTCCTACCAAGCCTGTCAAGCGAGAAGAATAAACAAAGAAAATATGGAACAATTGATATTTTGAAGTGAACGTAAAATCCGAGGATCTTGAATGAGGGCAACAAAGGCCTTAGAAGGCTTGAGTTCATAAAGGACAGTCATGAAAACGTCTATTGGTTAAAGAATATGAGCGATCGTACAGTTGTAAGTTTCCTTCTCAGAATGCTTTGTGGGGCTTTTAACAAGACCCTATTCCACAAAAAGCATATTTAAGATTTCTTTGATCATCGTTCAGAAGGCCTTATCGGTACTATGAATCCGAGCTTCACCAGACACTTACATTTACAGGCACTTTCTGGTAGTTACCATCGCTGTGGCGGGGAAGAGGTCTATTGGATACACCGCTTGGTATC